TTATTTAAGACTATATTTTAGATTTTTTAAAAAGTACTTGAACTCTCAACTTTCTATTTTTAAGATATAAATTTACAACTTTAAGAAAAACTATACTTAGCTAAAAATGAATTTTTAAAATAATTCTAAAATTTTATAACATTACAGAAAACCATAATACAAATGTAAAATGATACTGTCAGACACACTGCTAATTTATATCCATCAGGGAGGAGAATAGAAGTACCAATTAAACTATGATAAGCAGCTTGATTTTATTGGCTGAAGGCATGAAACGTATACATATATATACACACATACATATATCTATAACAAAAAAATGAATATAAAACGTTACGTAATTTTAAATCTTGAAGAAATAACTAACTAAAAATCCTAAAGTTTGGCATTTCTTCCATATTTTTAAATCTCTTCTATTTATCAAAGGTGTTAGCTGAACATTGACAATTAAAAACTAAATGTCAATAGCCACAAATAATATTTCCCTCCCTAAATTTCTCATGCTTCTAAATATGTTTCATTTCACTGATGAAACTTTCATGTTCCAATTCCTTGACATATTTCTACCTCAACAATCTACTGAATTTTGTATTCATGAGGATAACATCATGCTTCCTCAGGAAAGGGACTGGAAGGCAGAGGTACAGGGGGAAAAACTGAAGCAGCACATCAACAACTGTTTGTTCTCTTCTGTCTGAAGCAGTTGATAAAAGAAACACAGAAACAAGAACTCTCTATTTTTCCAATCAGAACTGAATTTCTATATAACCAAATATTGAGTTGTGTACATAAAATTGAACCAATAACTCCTAAAAAGTTAAAAGTGGCAAATGTAAATGTTCCATGTAACTTTTAGAGTTCCCTTCAATTTGCATCTCTATAGTCAAAATACAACTACCTTGCTTAAACAGCATTTTCACACCATGGTAAAGTTGAGGATAAGAAAAACTCCGGAAGAAAAAAACCCCAACAAAAAAGATTCTAAGGCATAGATACATATCATGTTCTCAATAATTCCAGTACTGTGATAAAAATCACTACACTATTAACACATCACCGAGAGCTGGACAATGACTAGAGATGATCTTAAGAAAATTGATGCGTCTGAGCTGTGGTGCTGGATAAGAATTCTGAATATACCATGGACTGCCAGGAGAACAAACGAAAAGGTTCTTCCTAGAGAGGGTGAAGCCAGTCTGTTCCTTGGAGGCAAGAATACTGAAGCTTCATCTGACTTACTTTGGGTATGTTGCAAGGAGGCACCTGGTCCTTGGAAAGGGTTATCATGCTTGGAAGGGTGGAAGGTCAAAGAAAGAGAGGGAGACCATCGATGAGATGGATTGATTCAGTGACTAGGTTAATGAGGGTAGGTGTGTCAAAACACACTGAAGTTGGCACAGACTAGAACAGGGTTCAGGGCTGTTGTACATAGGGTTGCTATGAGTCACAACCAACTCCATGGTACTTAACAACAACAACAACCTTACCACATCAAATGAAAAGCAAAACGAACCAATATACAGTGTATATTAAATCCTATCCTTGTCAAAATGGGTCACAAATTAAATCCTACTACTTAGCATTGTGAAAAACCTAAAGCGAGTATGCTGAATGGCTTTCTATCATAATAAAATAAAAAGGAAAAAAAAGATCGTGTTCTTTAAAGAATACTATCTCCATATTAAGCTTACCTGTTCCATTAAAAATGTTACTTGATAAGGAGTTATTCATTCCAAATGCCTGATTTCTGTTCATTCCAAATCCAGACATACTGGGTACACAGAAAATAATTTTAGATATATGGTAAGAACACTAACTTTCAGATGAAGAAAAACAAGAGTGTACACTTTTGATCTCCTCATGTAAAACAGTAAGTTTAAAAACCAATATTATTTGCCTATATTTAATCTTAATTTTTACTTAAAAATTTCCTCTGAAGTCTATCCATTAAAAAAAAACACACAGAAAACAACAACAACAAACAAAAAACTAGGAAGCAAAATGTCTAACTGAAAAAAAAATTTTAAACCCCCAGTTTTATACAAACCCAGATAAAAACAGGGATTAAAGATTACCAGCTTGGGTACTTGGGGAGTCATTACCTCTGAAACTAATCTCAAAAATATGCAGACTACTACAGTTATTCTTCCCCCAAATACTTCCCTACTGGTGAAGACTGCTATAGCTGTTTTCTGACATAGTATCTGCCCTTTTCAAATCAGACTACACACTCAGTGTCATAACCAATTCTGTATTCACTGACCTTATTCAAGGAGCACAAAACAGGCACTCAACAAATGTGGGGGTTAAGAATTAAAATGGTTTAAAATAATTCAATGTTTGAAAACAATTAAAGCATATTAAAATATAGTTAACTTTGAGCTAGTTAAACAAACAAAAAAATCTGCCCTTAGTGTCCCTAGCTCTCAACTGATGCAAAACTGGTATCTAGTAAATAGTTATAAATGCTTGTGGTTTTGCATAAGCCTGATGATGGGAGGAAAGGGGGAAAAAAAAATCAAAACAAAACAAAAGGCTGTACTCAAGTAAAGACCAGAAGTAATCAAGAATATCAATAAGAAATGTTAATGAAAATTGTACACATTAACTGTGCATTTTAAACATCAAATTATCTTCTGATAAAGACAGTTAAATAACATGTCAGTATTTTGAATAGGATTAATCTGTTTGAAATCGATGGAGTGGTTCGCGGGGGGTGTTTTTTTGCCAAGTCTGTATAACTATGAAAATCAGTATTTTCATAAAATATTCACATGGTAAAACAACACTCTATGGAAGACTGAAAAAGTTAATTGAAATTCTGGTTTAATAATGTTAGAATGGCTGATAATACAGGTACCCACAAACACTGAATAAGTGTTTAGTGATGATAACAGTTTCTAACAAAAACAACATATTATTAGGAGAAATAAGCAGTATTTCCAAAGACAATGTAGTTAAAAAGAAAAACCATTAAAACATGAAAAGTACGGAAAGGCAAGAACTTAAAATTTACACTAAATGAACACTACTAAAAGAATGCACGAAGAGATGATTAAGATTAAGAAATAAGAATTTTTACAATGTTTACATAGTTTTAAAAAATTAGAAGAACAGTGAAATTACAGAAAAAAAGGACAGGTAAAAAGAATTGGTTTATGGAACAGGCACTATATAGGAAATGTGCTAATACTATTTGTGTTCAAGAACTATGAGATATCAAGAAAATCAAATGAGTATAATAAAAATCAGATTAAAATCCTTTCATTTTCTACGATTCGCTATTTTAAAAAAAGTTTATCAACCATAAATACTACTTTTCTAAGACAGATTTATACTGAAGACCTAACTTATGTAGATGTTACCCAAACAGCTTGAAAATCTTAATAAAATGTTTTATTAGTCTCATTATTTGCACTGTACATGAGATTGAGAACCAAAATGAACGAAAACACAGCAGTTTATCTTCTTGCTTTTAATCCTCAAATATGATTCTATTTTCAAATAATTTGGTCTCACAATAAACTAATTTTACTCAATCTACAAAGCACAATATTTGCCTAAGTCTTTAACAAAACTAAGGCAAGGTGAGAATAGTCAAATATGTCTCTCTAGTCCTACTTAAAAGTCTAAAACTTATTACAGAGGCAGGCAACTTCATTTAATTGAAAAAAATATCTATCAACAAAAATTTACCTGGTATAGCAACCCAAGAATAATCGCTTTTTACTAGCAATAATTATGTTTTAGTTGCTGCATCCTAAAATGAAACTGAGTTGCAAAAGAATCTATTTTCAATTTGGAATGTAATGATGTGGAACAGAAAGAGAATCTCTGATCATAAATATATGATGCAACACTTATGACACAGAAACAAAGACTCAAGAATAGAGAAATGGATAATGAAAAGGTAAATTTGAGGACACTTATAAAAACAATTATACAAAGTATCAATAAACATCTTACCTGTTCACAGTAAAAGGCTGCCGAGAAGGTTGCTGCTTTGGCATACATATTATGCTTGGCGAGCTTCTGTTGGGGCTACCTAACCCTGAACTGCTCATATTATTTGTCCTGCTAGGAATTCCAATGCCCTGACCAACCTGGGAGTGGTTCATCATGTTCCTAGGATTCATAGGCAAAATACCCCTGAAAAAGAAGTCCATCACACTAAATAAGCTTGCTATAATTACTCATAAAAATTCTCTATGAAATCAAGTGGTTCAACCCTACACTCTTAAACTACTTTCAAACTGCATAATTAATTTTAAATGAATTCTTGGTCCAATTATTATAGTTATTTGGAAAGAAAAATCAAAGTAAACAAAGAAAAAGGAAAAAAGAGTGGAACCAGTAGAGGTGATAGCAACTGGTATGACTAGGATATAAAATATAAATGTATTTTACATTTATATAACTGACATCCTAAATGTGTCATTCTATGTTCTTACTATCCATAATCTATCTTATTTGTTTTATTTCAATCTTACTATAGCAAAAGACAATTTACAAGAGAGAAGTAATTCAAATTATCTAGGGAAAATTTTTGAAAAAGGTACCCAGGTAGTGATTAACACGTGATGTCCACCAAAGTTGATAACAACTGTGCTTGTTATAGGATAAAACCATTTTTTACTACATTTAACAATTTACAATAAAACAAACACAGGTTATCTGGTTTTCTGCCTCAGTCAGAGATAATGAATCAGAGCGCCATATATATTATCTTATTGAAGACTAAAAAGATCGCTTAGTCTACAAAGATACATTCTGAGAAATATTCTGGTCCATCAATAAATACCTGCTTGGAGATGGAGGCGTATGAAGTGACATTGTTGGTACCCCTGTTGTTGGCGTGACGTGGCTCGGTAACTGAGTGCCTTGTGATAAGCTGCGATTTAACTGAGGGGTATTGTTGCTCATCCCCCTCATTGGAAGGCCTAGTGCACCTAATAAAAAAAATTCAGAAGAAGAAAATTCATTGCCATCGGGATTGAAATTGTGTCATCTATCTTTTGGAGTTGGCAATGTAAACCATTTTTAAATGACCTGCCATGTAATATGCAAACCTTATATGGATATAGTAAATTCATTCCAAATGGATTCTGGTTTATGACAAAATCATGTTGTAGTCTGCAATTTATTACGAATAAATAGTTCTTTCCTATTTTTCCACATCTTTATTTTACAATTAACTATTTCTGTAAATGACTGGAACCTATCAGATAACTTATAATTTAATCAAAACATGTACAAGCAGAACTGTTAAGAACCATCTCATGTGTTCTGTTTTTAACTTAAAATTGATATACAAAGATTTTACTTTGCTGAAGTAGTTTTACTTTTCAAATGATCCTTTTAATTCATATTTAAGAAATATCTTTGCTGTTATTTCTACATTGTCCTCAATGTTACAATTTTTACAAACCAAAATATTTGAAACACTGCACAAAATTTAATGTGTAACAATTCTACCTTAATACTTCTGGGTGATGGATATGTTTCCAAAGATGTATTTTTAAAGACCACCAAGATTTACCACCCAGATGTAATGCATAAATCAAATTGGATAAACTTATTTCATAGGTGTGCTACAATATTCCCTGTCTTTTATTTAGGTGATATAGAAGAGTATTATTTTCTTATTAACCCAGTAAATTATTATGGATGTGTAATATCTTATATGTTTATTTTTATTCTTCACTGTAAAACAAAACTGTTCAGCTGTTACATACATTGTCATCATATCTGCCTATGACTGTCTTCTTTTTCTGACTTGTACCATTTAATACTTTCGCTAATATGCCATAGAATATACATCATCCAATCTAGTTTATTTTGAATTGGAGGTTAAGCAAAAGTGACAGAGTGAGAGTTACATAAGGATATAGATGACTTTAAGAAATCTAATTGCCATCAAGAGAATTCCAACTCATGGTGAATCCACATGTGTCTAGAGTGTGCTTGACTAGTTTTTCAATGGTTCATTTTCAGATCATCAGACCTTTATATCAAAATGCCTTGAGGTAAATGTAAGCTGTTAATCTTAATAAAGTAGTTGAGTATTTAATGGCCTGCATGCCTAGAGACTTCAGATGACTTTGGAGTTGCTGTGTAGCATAGCATCAGAACCAATCCACAGATGACCCTCCAGAGGATTTTCAGAGGCAGTAAACTGAACAGGAGTTTATTACACATCTGTCTGTCTATTTATCGCACAAGGAGTTGCTAGTGGATTTGAACCATACAGTTTTTCATTGGCAGTGCAATTCCTGACCACTAAGCAGTCAGAGCTCCTCTTTATTACTTTAGTCCTAGGGATCAACAGTGTCTTTCTGGCCCCAACTCCTTTTTGGGTTAAATTTAGGTCTAAGTATTCAAAAGATCTAAAAATTTCAAAACTCCAACTACCAAATACTGGTACACATAAATGCCATAAGCTTCTTGGTATAATCATGCATTCCTTTCTAATCTATGGCTAATACATGAATCATAAAAATTTCAGTGAAACCTGTAAAAACTGGAAGCTGTGTAAGGCAGAACTATGTCAAAAAAGGAAATAGCAAACGTTTTTCATTAATAAAGTGTGACAGAAAAGTGGCTATGAGTACACTTGGTAGAAGACAGAAAGCTCTGAAGATGTGAAAAAACAAAGCAGTCAAGTTCTAGCTTTCAGTTTGTTTTAGTGGCTTCAGAACTCAATTTGAGCCAATCTCTGTCTCTCAACCAAGTGTACACAATGAGCTCAAACCTACTATATTTTTAGTGCAGTCTTTTGAGTCATAAGTCATGCAGAGTCAAGATCTGCATTTTGTTCAGTCCTTTGAAAGGAAATGGCCAAGATTAAACACTGGTCTAATTACTGCATATGTCAACCTGGTGACACTAAGAATATTTATCTCTACAGTGATATCCTCGGATCTTGAGTTTAAATAAAGAATAAGAGATTGAAAATCAACTATATAAGACCTCTTCATAAGAAAAGAGGGTTTTTTCCTCTTAGGTCAAGGACCTAAGTAGTTTTGCCCCAACAATCAAGATGTTTCCATAAGAAACTATCAGCATGATACCTTTCACTACACTCATCATTGAATATCTACTAGAATCTCAGCATTGTGCTGTGAATAAGATGGGAAAAGTTCCTAGCCTATGGAGTTTACATTCTACTCTACACAAAACATGGTACCCTAAAGTCAGCTATAGTTACAAATTTTCCACAGAAAATGTGTTTCTCACAGATTGCCAACAAAAATAATGACATTATAGAATAAAAAAAGACCTTAAAGATCATTTAGTCCAATGTATACATTATACATATGAGGAATCTGAGTATCCAAGTTGACACAAAAAACCAGGACTACAATTTAGATCTCGTCACTTTTAGTGTTCTATAAGACAGCATTATGGGAGGCCAATATACTACAAGAACAACACATTTAAGTGCTCAACAAACTGCAAGGCATCATCTAATTTTGTTCAGCTCCCTTTCATTTTGTAATTGTTCAAATCTTTTTTTGAAAGCTGTCAATTCGTATGGTCTATTCTCTCATATCTCCTTATCTGTCAGTATTATTTCCTCTAGTTCTACGATTTCTTTCTATTTTTACTTTATACCATCTTTATTTTAAAAACGACATACTACTCTTTGTGGCACTCTTCTAATAAACCCTGTAAGAGAGTCACATTCAGTTTTATCCACTTCGATAACCCAAATCTATTATCCTATTTTGTATCATAAAAATATGTTCAAAGATAGAGTCAGAGCATAGCAATATAACTTTTGGAGGAAACTTCCTGAAAACTGGATAAGGCTACTTATGTTTCATTAAAGACTGACATACTTGAGTTATTCAGTGTTAAAAATAGAGGAATAAAGTGCAGGATAAGAAAAAGTGAAGATTATTGTTCACTTTTTATTTTACTTTTTAAAATTAATCCACCTTGATTTCAAGAAAAGAGATAAAATTCAAAAGATATACTGTGAGAAAATAGAGTCCATTATTTTAAACTGGATCATCAACCATTAATACTTCTAATTTACCTGTTTTTAATTTCATTTGAAAATTAGAGAAAATTAATAGCACTATATATAAAAACATACAGATTTATTTTTAGAAAATAAAATATACGAAGTCAGAAGATTTGAGTTACTTGACTAACACTATGACAAATGGGTGAGAAAAAGAGGAAAAACTTAATCTCCGATTAGTATAAATAGCAACAGTTAACCAAAAATGTTTTCCAAAATCAAATGTCAAGAAGATGACATGCAAACAAAAAAAAAAACAGTGCACCAATATTTCTGATGTAAAGGGACTAAAACAGGTTTTTACAAAAGCTAACATTTATGTATGAACTTATGTACGAGTAGGCAACTAGCAGGATAACAGAACCATGTTATTTTGCCTCAGTTCTTCCTTATAATCTTATAGAGAAGATATGCATCCTCCTCTTAAAGAGAAGGAATAAGGAAATGTATAAAACAGTTAAAAAGATTGTAATTATAAATAAAAATTTTCTTTACACTTGACAAATAATCAAGAAAAAACAATATTAGGAAGAATATCTGAACATATAAAATTCAGATTCCTATCTCAGTGCTAAACACTCAAAGAATTAAATGACTGATAATTTTTCAGAAATCCCAAGAATATTATACAAGAAATGATTCAAGAATTATTTTCATACACAAACCAATTAACAACACCTTTTGAAATACTAAAGACACTTTTTAAGGAACTCTGATGGCCTAGTGGCAAGAAGCAGCACTGCAATCCCCGAAGGCATGCTGTTCCAGTCAACCAGCTGCTCCATGGCAGAAGGATGGGCAATCTCCTCCTGTGCAATTGTCTCTGAAAATCTGCCAAAGGGTCAGCTATGGGTCCCTTCTGACTTGATGATAACAACTCAACCATAATGGTATTCTTTATTCAACTTTTTTGCGGCTAAACAATATTAATAATCCAAGTAGAACAGGAACTCATTCATAGCACTAAATCCATTTATTTCACTGCCATTTAGTCGGAATAGATGAACCGCTGAACCCTCCACTGGGTTTCCAAGGTTATAAACTGCTCAAGAAGTGACTGTCCATCTTTATCCTCAAAAGCCACTGGTAGATTCAAATGGACAGAAGTGTGGCCTTTGGGTTAGCAGTGCAACTCTTTACGAATTACTATCAAATATTCCAAATTCCAGAAACTCCTTTAAGGAAAAGGAAAGAAAAATGTAGAATCTATTCAAGGGAGCTAAGTGTCTGCTTCTCCATCCCTAAGAAATTAGATCCATGTTAAGAACTATACTGTCTAAAAAGGACAAATTCCCTAAATGATTGCACCTTCCAACTACTGTTCAATCTGTCCTACATATACTTAGCTGCTTCACCATCCCTAACAACTTATCTTTTCATGTAATTTCCCTTATTATAATCAATGGGCTTTAGAGAAAGAAATATTATGCCAACAGTTATAAATGGGAAAAAAAAACACCCAAATAACTTGCTCAAAATTGGAAGTAATCTCTTGACTTCTATTTCAATGCTCTCTTCAACCTCTTATTAATTTTGACATCATTGAGGGAAATTTCAGAAACTGTCACATTTAGTTTTGATCCCCAGAAATTTGGTTTGCCTGTAACTGAGTAACTGGTGGGAAGCAGAATTTTCAGTATCCTACTAAAGTGTTTCTGTAGTTGTTGCTGAATACCAATGAGTCAGAACCCATCCACAGTTGACCCCCCCAGCAAGTTTTCTGAGGCAGTTACAGGAGAAGATTGCCCATACTTCTTCCAAGGAGAAGCTAAAAGATAGTTCTGAACTGTGCACCTTTGGGACTGCAGTACAGTTTCTTACCATTAGGCCACTAGAGCTCTGCCCCCTGGACTTCCCAATTGCTTGCTATGCATTAGAGAGCTAGACAATGACTAAGGATGAAAGAAGAAAAATTTATGC